ATCTGGCATGCTGAGTGCCCACATGGATCCATTGCTATAAAGGATGCCAGATTGTTACTGCTGTACAAAATCTACAGAACTGCAGTCAGCAGGGCTAAGACCAGGAGGAAAGGCATTAAGGATTGACTGAATATTTCGGTAATTGTCTCTGTTTTTAAAGAAATATATGATATTATAGTGTATGCTTGGGAATTTCCTGCTAGTTTTATGCTGTGATCTCATAACGTGGGAAGGAGGTTTAGCAGCCAAATAAGGGCTAGAAGAACCATGTCCTTTTCAGATTGTTTCTTCCTCCCTTGGTACAGGCCAACTCTTGACACAGTACCTGTGTGTGAGATGGATCAGGAAACTAAGCTTTCTCCAGTGGTTCTGAAGATTAATTTCTTACTATTGTGTTATTACTTTTTGTAGTATTAAGTCTTTTTAACCCAGACCTGTTTCTTCTACAATGTAAGTGTAGGAACAAGCAGTCGAAGACAGAAAAGACCAGCTGTAACTCCTTAGTCTGATATTCCCTCTAGACGTCTCCAAGTGAAACCTTGCAGAATGTAGAATTTGGTCTGTTCTTAATCAGCCTGAGATCTGACTTCTTCTCTGCAGGCTCATGTCACTCTTCAGTGACTCTGGAAGAGACCGAGGACAAGTAAGATCTTAATGGCCTTAATGAGGTGAGATGAGACAAATCTGGTCCTTAGTTGCTGATGTTAGAGAAACCAAAGCTTTGCCAGATATCAGGATTCTGGAAGGAGGATTGCTGGGTTTGGACAGAACTAGATTAATCAGCAGTGAAATAAAAATAGCAACATTCACACATTGGAAAGTTATAGGCTCTTCAGCTGACTTTATTGTTTCCATAGATAAGACATTTAAGTACATAGTAAGTAATTTAGAATCAGTAACTTACGGTCTTTGGCCACCTGTGGTGTGCTTGTTATGGATATGTCTTATATTTCATCCTGATGTTACTGAAAACCTATAGATCTGCTTCAACTATCTAAACAAAGCAAACAAGACTACAAAATTACACCCAAGGATACTAAGCTCTGTGAAAAAAAAAATAATCTTTTGCATATTAACGGCATTGTTGACCTTTTATGCATTCTAAAGCACTGCATGCCTTTCAACATATGAAATAATACTACAAGCGAGTTAGGTAATTCAGTTCCATTCCAGCCCTTAACTTGGTCTTCTTTTAAGATGCCATGAGTCTCTAAATGGACTGATCTGGTTCTCCATTTCAGAGGGAACTGCTGTACTTGCTCCACGGTGCTGCCCATGACCAAGGACTGAAGCAATCTGCACTTAGTTTGGCACCCAAGAGATATGAATACAAACTGCAGAGCCTTGTCTGTAAAGGGGTTTTCAGACCAACAGCTCATTCGCTGACTCCTATTGCCTTTCATAAGGACCCAAATATTAGCAAGCATTTCATGCCCAGCATCACAATCTAATATTAGATAAGAATATTTAAAATCCATAGGAAGGGCTTTTGTCCATAGTCCAAGTTTGCGTTTTGAAATCTTTACAAACTCTCTCTCTGGGGAGGCTGTGTAGAGAGAGCCATCCTTTCAGCTCACCCTTGAATGCACTTTGAACAAGCAGCTGCTTTTACTGTAAGCATGTTATTAATGGTCTCTTTTCAAAAGCTGAGATAGTACCCTGGAAAACGTTCTATTGATTTTTTCCCTTTCCCTCTCCCTGTTTCAATAACACTCGTCTGAATGGCTTTCATTTTTAGCAACAACAAGAGATTCTTCGAAGAAGAGTGGTGTCTAGGTGCAGCCTTAAATAAAATCACTGCTCAATTTAAGCTCTGAAAAATACTATTGATATTTTAATAGAAGATTGGAGAACTGATTGCTGGTTCAATAATAGCTACAAGGAGTTTATACATAGGAATCATGCACAAGGATCATTTTATTTCTCCTACTGCACATGTTAACAGAAAACAGCAGCCTAAATCTTGACTCACTTGATTATTACATGTCAAGGATCTCAGGAACATGGAAATATTTCATTCTAATTTTCTAAAGTGGAAATGTGCACTGAGATACCTGCACACAGAGTTCAGAATACAGAACTGCAAATAATATTCTACCATAGATTTCTATATAATAATATTAATGCAGAAGAGTCTGCCATTAAGAAAATGAGCACCTGGAAACATGATTTTTCTTCTGACTTTGGCTACCATTGCTATTAATTATGTGTATGACATAGAGTCAAGCACATGTTTTCTAAACATTTTTGCTTGTGACCAAACAAGAAGTCATATCCACTGGTTTGAAAACCTATAAAATGAGGATCCGAATGGCACAAACTCCGCATGGAATTATGTGCTATATTAACATCTAGAAGAACCTGACAATGTCAACTGCCGTGAGTGACTCTCAGAGCACTTAATATTTCATAAGGCTGAGCTCTGGGAACTATGGGATGGTGTAAGATGTTCTGCGGGAAGGGCAGAGACATGAGTATAGGTAAAAAGTCAAGACAAGGTAAGATGGTTTTGCTTCTGCGGAAAGAAACTTGAAAATATATCATAAATGTATTAAATTTTTAACCTGCAAATCCACATTTTTTAATATGTAAGTAAACTCCTGACTTCCTAGGACTCAACTTTTTTAATGTTTATAACTGAAAAATTCTTTTACTAAATAAATGTTATCGTTTTCCAGAGATAGTAAGTAGAGAAAATAACTACCATACATACTAGCATCTGTAAGATGCAAGCCAGAAGCACAATGATATTATCCATAAAATTTGCACGACTTTGGTCATAATATGCATTTAACAAATTCTTTGATTTTGTAATATCAATTATATTGCACTGAACACTGAAAAATTAAGTACTTAGTTGGAAGCCAAGACACAAATTTAAGTATAGAGAACTACTTTAAAATGCTGGCTTGACTTTCTAAACTGTTTTCAGCCAAAAATATTGATTTCTCCTTTCCAAGTATGGAAAGCATCAACCAACTGAAAAAAAATCCTTCATGAAGTGCAGTATTTGTGCTTTCAACCCTATGCCCATAAAGACTTAGATGTTTATCCGATGGCTGCTTGCCTTCTTTAACAGGCTACGGTTACCAGTGTGAGCTTCAACAGGAGAGCTGTTATATTTTTATTTCAATGCTATGTCCTACATAAAAGTTGGCAATAACAGAAAGTACTTTATAGAATACAACTCCCCCATGCATTCTGCCTTTACACATCAACATTTTTTACATGTCAACAATGCTCAAGTGAAGGTGTCTTATTAAAAAAAAAAAATCAACAAGAAAACAAAGAGAAAGACAAAGAGGAAAGGAAAAGAGTATGGGGGAAAGGCAGATAAAACAAACTCAGACATCTTCTGGTCACACTAAGTAATTCAGATGTTCTTTGTCATTTTAACTTAAAGATCAGTTTATGAGAGTTTGATTCTGATGGAATACATAAAGCTGGAATACATGAGTTAGGCAGCCTGATGTAGATATGAGAATTCAGTTCTTTAGCTACATTCACTGTTTAGAGTCCCTTTCCTCTGCTTTGAGTATGCTGTTGTCAACCTGATCACACCTCAAATTTGTCCCCTGACTGCACTCACAATCACACGGGTGTTTATATCCATACCACTGCCTCTGTTCTCACTTGTTTTCCTCTTACCAAAAGTGAGTCAGCTCATATTCTTTGTAACAAATCTTAATATGGTGTGTGTTCTCCTTATATAAAGTATATATACTATATATACTATAGAACTTCCATTATTTTCCCTATAACTTTTTAAGGCCAGGCTGGATGGGTCTCTGAGCAGCCTAATCTAGTGGGGGATGTCCCTGCCCATGGCGGAAGGGTTGGAGCTAGATGATCTTTAAGGTCTCTTCCAACCCTGACAATTCTATGATTCTATGATTCTATGATTTTGCTCCTCTAATTGTTTATCTAATATCAAAATATACTATAGTGATCATGTCTACTGAATTTCAGTCTATCCATTTTTCAAAATATTTTCTTAATAGATGCAGGCCATTTTGATTAAAGGTTCTTTCAACCAAAACATTTCAAGACTTTCTTATCTGTTTCTGATCACATAATTTATAAGTCTTATTTAAATCCACCATAAACACCACTGATATCAGGAATATCAGGGTAAAACCCCACTTCCCAGGCCCTTCCATTTTGATTGGGAACTGTCAATAAATGCTACTCTGTAATAGTTTTGTATTGCATTTTTCATTAAACAACTTGTAACCTTGGTTTAAACAGATACTAAATTGGATTTCTTTGCAGAGATAGATAGATGGATACAGTTATCAGTCCTATGTGTTACCTATTATATTTCATAGAATCATAGAATCATAGAATGGCCTAGGCTGGAAGGGATCTTAGAGATCATCTAATCCAGCCTCTCTGTCATGGACAGGGACCCCTCTCAACTAGACTAGGTTACTCAAGGCCTCAGATCCAGGGTAGGATGGGAGGGGTGCAAATTATTACTTTAAGCTGAATCTTTTCAGACGCCCATTTTACAGGAAAGTCATGTAAAAGACTGGCCCAGCTGCTGGGGCACCGACTCCTACTATAACAAAAGTGGAGAAAAAACTCCACAGGGACAGCAGCAGAAAGAATAC